GGCTCTCAGCCTCCTTCCCCCAGCCACACATGTCCGATCACCCCGGAATCACAAGATTCCACAGGGATTTAATGCTGGAGCAGGTACACGCCCCCAGATCAGCTCTCTGGAAAGCTCCATCAGCTTCGATTGCACATCCCAGCTCAAATCGGGACCTGGACTTCCAATCAGACCATGTGAGTCTGGTTTTGAGAAGAATGTGCTGATACTTGCTGACATTTAGAAGATTGAAATACAGATCCATCTTTCCCGGATGTGGTCATTGCCGGCTGGCCCAGCATTTGTTGCTGATTCCAACTTGGCCTGAAGAAGACTGTGGAGAATCAGTATTGTCCATGTGCTGTATGTAGACCCACAACGACCTGAGGGAGGGAATTCCACAATTTTGACTCAGCGACTCTGAAGTAACAGTGACATATTTCCAAGTCAGGATGGTGAGTGGCTTGGAGGGGAACTTGCAGGGGGTGGTGTTCCCATGTATCTGGTGCCCTTGTCCTTCTAGATGGAAGTGGTTATGGTTTTGGAAGGTGCTCTTGAATGGATATAATGCCCATAAAGCAGACTTCATTATTCCATCACACTCCTGACTTGTGCCTTGGGCAGGCCTGGGGGTGTCAGGAGGTGAGATATTCACTCTAGGATTCTAGGCCTCAGTATTTATATGACTAGTCCAGTTCAGTTCCTGGTCAACGATAACCAACAGGATGTTATTGTAGGGGTATTCAGGGATGGTAATACCATTAAACATCAAAAAGAGATCTGTGACACTAGTACTAAGTGCCTTTATCAGTCCAAGCCTAGGTATGGCTTCATTTGGATATAAACTGCTTCAGTATCTGAGGATAGAAAAAGCCATCAGACCCAAGGGGTAGGAGCAGTTTAGAGTTCAGCAAAGGGACTGATTAAGAAAGGGAAAATAGTGTACAAGAATAAGCTTAAAAACTGACTTTAAAAAGTTTCTATAGACATGTGAAGAGAAAAGAATTGGTGAAGAGAAATGTAAGTCCCTTACAGTAAGAAACATGGGAAATTATAATGGGGAACAAAGAAGTGGCTGACCAACTAAAAACATTTTTTGGCTCTGCGTACACAAAAGAGGACACCAATAATATACCAGAAAAACCTGGGGAGCACAGGTTCTAGTGAGAGGGAAGTACTGAAGTATTAGGGAAGTGCTGTTGGGAAATTGATGGGATTGAAGGCCAGTGAATCCACAGGCCCTGATAATCTATATCCCAGAGTACTTAAGGAAGTGCTCCTAGAAATAATGGATGCATTGGTGGTCATCTTCCAAATTCTACAGACTCTTCCAGAGTTCCTACAGATTGAAGATTAACTAATGTAACCCCTCTATTTAAGAAAGGAGGCAGAGAGAAAACTAGGAATTAGAGACCAGTAAGTCTAACATGAGTAATGGAGAAAATACTAGAATTCACTATAAAAGATTTGACAGCTGAGAATTTAGGAAACATTGGCAGGTTCAGACAGAGTCAGCGTGGATTTACAAAAGACTACAAAAACTCATCTTAACAATTTCCAGTCTCTCTGCACCATTGTAGAGGCTCACTACTCACCCAGTTCTATAAACCTCCTCCACAACATCTCTGAGACCATGCCAACCTTCCTGGTGGACAGTGTCCAGATGTGAGCACAATGCTAACCAGCCTTTTACAGAGATTTAGCAAATTAACTTTGCTTTTGAGCTCAATCCATTTCTAACCCTCAAGGAATAAACTTGTCCTTTATCACACCCTTAGAACGTAGAACAGTACGGCACAGGAACAGGGGCAGTGACCATAATGTGATAGAATTGTGATACAATACGATAGAATTCACCCTGCAGTTTGAGAGGGAGGAGCTGGAATCAGATGTAACGGTTTTACACTTGAGTAAAGGTAACTACAAAGACATGAGGGAGGAGCTGGTCAGAGTTGATTGGAAGGGGAACCTAGCAGGGAAGACGGTGGAACAGCAATGGCAGGAGTTTCTGGGGGTAATTCGGGAGGTACAGCAGAAATTCATCCCAAGGAGAAAGAAACACACTAAGGGGAGGATGAGGGAACCATGGCTGACAAGGGAGGTCAGGGAGAGCATAAAAGCAAAAGGCTAAGTACAATGTCTTCACAATGTGGTGAAGATTAGTGGGAAGCCGGAGGATTGGGAAGTCTTTAAAAAAACAGCAGAGGATAACTGAAAAAACAATAAGGGGGGAGAAAATCAAATGTGAGAGTAGGCCAGCTAGTAATATAAAAGAAGATTGCAAGAGTCTTCTTTAGCTATTTAGAATATAAGAGGAAGGCAAGAATGGACAGTGAATCACTGGAGAATGAGCCTGGGGAAGTAGTAATGGGGAACAAAGAAATGGTGGAGGAACTGAATAGGAACTTTGCATCAGTTTTCACAGGGGAAGACACCAGCAATGTACCAGAACTTTATGAGAGTCAGGGGGTAGAGGTGTGTAGTGGCCATCACTGAGGAGAAGGTGCTGGGGAAACTGAAAGGTCTGAAGGTGGATAAATCACCCAGACCAGATAGACTACACCCCAGGGTTCTGAAGGGGATTGCTGAGGGGATTGTAGAGGCATTGGTGGCGAACTTTCAGTAACCAGTGGAGACGGGGATGGTGCCAGAGGACTGGAAAATGGCTAAAATCACACCCCTGGTTTAAGAGGGAAGGGAGATAGAACACAGGAAACTATAGGCTGGTTAGCCTGACCTCCGTTGTTGGTATGATTTTAGAGTCCATTAATTGATGAGATTGCGGAGTACTTTGGAAGTGCATGGTAAAATAAGGCTGAGTCAGCACGACTTCGTCAAGGGGAGGTCATCCCTGACAAATCTGTTAGAATTCTTTCAGGAGGTAATGGGCAGGTTAGGCAGAGGAGAGCCAATGGACATGATCTATTTGGATTTCCAGAAGGCGTTTGACAAGGTGCCGCACAGGAGACTGCTAAATAAGATGTTGTTAGGGTCCAGGTACTGACATGGATAGAGGATTAGCTGACTGGCAGGAAGCAAAGAATGGGGATAAAAGGGGTCTTTTCCAGGATGGCAGTCAGTAACTCATGGGTTCCAGAGGGGTCGATGTTAGGACCACAACTATTATGATGTTATACATTAACAAACTGGATGAAGGAACTGAGGGTATTGTTGCTAAGTTTGGGTATGACACAAAGACAGATGGAAGGACAGGTAGTGTTGAGGAAATGGGGAGGCTGCAGAAGCACATGGACAGGTTGGGAGAGCGAGCAAAGAAGTGGCAGATGGCACACAATGTGGGAAAGTGTGAGGTTAAGGATAGCGTAAGTGTAAGTGTAAGTGTAAGAATAGAGGCTTGGACTATTTTATAAATAGGGAAAAGCTTTGGAAATCTGAAGCAGAAAAAGATTTGGGAGTCCTAGTTCAGGATTCTCTTAAGGTTAAAATGCAGGTTCAGTTGGCAGTTAGGAAGGCAAATGCAATGTTAGCATTAGAGGGCTAGCATACAAGAGCAAAGATGTGCCACTGATGCTGTATAAGGCTCTGGTCAGATGGTATTTAGAATATTGTGAGCAGTTTTGGGCCCTGAATCTATAGAAGAATGTGCTGGTGTTAGAGGGAGTCCAGGGAGGTTTACAAGAATGATCCTGGGGATGAAAAGCTTGTCATATGAGGAGTGTTGAGGACTCTGGGCCTGTATTCGATGGAGTTTAGAAGGATGAGGGGGGAATTGAATTGAAACTTAGAGAATACTGAGAGGCCTGGATAGTGTGGACATGGAGAAGGTGTTTGCACTAATAGGGGAGGTTAGGGCCTGAGGCCACAGCCTCAGTGTGAAGGGACCTCTAGACTGAGATGAGGAAGAACTTCTTTAGCCAGTGGGTGGTGAATCTATGGAACTTATTCCCACAGAGGAATGTGGGTGTGGAGACCATTAAGACAGATAGTTAGGATCTTGACTAGTAAGGGGATCAAGTGTTACAGGGAGAAGGCGGGAGAATGGGGTTGAGAAACATATCAGCAATGATTGAATGGCAGAGCAGTCTGGATGGGCCGAATGGCCTAATTCTGCTCCTGTATCTTATGGTCTTATGGTCCACAATTTCCTGCTTGATTGCTGTTGCCCTTCCTAAACTAAGGAACAACTCTGGCTATTCTCAGTCTTCTGGAACCTGGTCTCTGGCTAAAGCAGATACAAAGATCTCTGTAAAGGCCCCTACAATCTCCTCGTTTGTCTCCCTCAGTATTCTGGGATAGATCCCATCAGGGCCTAGGGATTTATTGAACTTAATATTTTTCAAAACACATAACACCTCTGCCTTTTTTATATTGACATGCCCAAAATATCAACATACCCTTCCTTAATCTTCCCTCATTCACATCCTTCTCCTTGATGTACACCAATACAAAGTACTCATTAAGAACCTCACCCATTTCCTCTGGCTCTGTGCACATATTCCCTCCTACATCCTCCAGGAGGCCCACCCTTTCCCTAGCTCCTAATGTACGTATAAAATGCCAATAGGATTGCCCTTAATCTTACTTTCCTGGCCCCCTTTGGTCCTCCTAATTTCTTGTTTAAGTCGTTTCCTGAACTTCTTATCTTGAGCTGGTACATTCAAAAATTTCAGCTTCTGACCTCTCATAAGCCTGGGCACAGCTTATGTGGGTGGATCAGGTCTGGCTCCATAGTGCACTTCATAGGAGGCCATTCAGCCCCTCAAACCTGTTCCACCATTCAGTGGGAGATCCTGGTTGATCTGTGAGTAACTCCACATTCAGACAATGGAGGAGCTCATCTTGTTATTGGTTAGTGGGACCTCACTGTATGATAACCCTCTCTTGTCCCTTGGCTTGGAGGAATCGGCACACAAAAACAAATGAAGCTGGAAGTCTGTTTGACTGTATGATTACCTGTAGCAGTGCAGGGAGTTTAACTCTGACCCTCATCGCTTGAGGGTTTTCTGGGCTCTGAGGGAGGCAATTTTATCCATCTGAGATTTTCACATCACACATCTTGCCTCGTAACCTTCCTGAGGTAGGCCACAAAGCGGCCCCTCCCCTCTCCTTCCTCAGCCATTACGCGAGTAACTGGAAAGGAGTGTTGTCCTCTTTTGAATTAAGAGGACCTGATTTGTGATGTTCTGTTGCTATGGTTACCATGACATCCAACCCTGATGGATACCAATAGCATCATTGTGAGGACTTTAGAATTTCCCCTCCTTTATTCACTTTTTTAAACCATGCTTCCTGAAATTGCCTTTCCCTATCTAACCACTCACACCACTTCCCCTTCACTCCCTCCCCAGCCTCCTGTCTCCTCACTCCCACGCACCTCCTTTGTTTGGCCTCTCATCTTCTCCAAATCCCCCTCCCCCTACATTCTCTATTCCTGATCTACTCCCCCTCCATCTTTACACCTTGTTTTCCCTGATCCTCCCTTCCAACTCCACCCCACGCCCAGCTCCCAGCCCAACTCTCAAACCCCCACACCAATCTCTGTTCCTCTTCAGCCAATCTCCTCCCAAACCCATCTCTCTCCCTCCCTGTCCTCACTCAGAGTGTCCCAGTCAGTCTTTGTTACAGAGACACTTTAGGGAAAGTCAATAGAGGGATTCAAATTGACGAGGGGCTTTCAGAGGGACGTAAGCTTTCTGCCAAGAGGAGGCTAGTTCAAAAAGTTTAAGGTGATTTACAGTAGAATTGCAAATCTTTGTCTGGAAAAAGTTGTTGGGATCCAGAATGCATCGCCTGAAAGACACTGGTAGCAGATCCAATAGGAAATTTTCAAGAAAATGTTAGAAAGGATTAAAAGTGCAGGACTGTGGGCAGCGGGGCAGAAGAGCTTGAGCGAAGTGCAAGTGCTGGAAGGACTCTAATGAGATGCGTCTTTCCAGGAGTCAGTGCTGGTGAGGCACACCCCAGAGTGAGGGCGAGACGCAGGACTCAGCTAGTTGAGGCTGCACTCATTGGTTCTCATGCCTGTGCGTGTTTGGGCTCAAACAGAAGCTGGTGTGTTTCCACTAGCGTACGATGTTAGCTACATTCAGTGACCCTGGCCCATGCTGTTTATCTGATTCTTGTTTGGAATATCGGCATTGCTGATCAGACTGGCATTTCTTGGCTGATTGCCCCTTGAACCGAACTAACCCTAACCTTCGAACTGAGTGGCTTGCTCAACCATCTCAGAAGGCGATTAAGAGCTAACCACTTTGATGTAGGTCTGGAGTTATTTGTAAGCCAGGCCAGAATAAGGAGATTTCCTTCCTTTAAGGACATTGGTGAATCAGATGGGTTTTTACAGCAGTGGTTGCCTGGTCACCATTAGGCTTCGAATTTTAATTCAAGATTTCCATTGAATTCTGATTTCATTATCTCTTGTAGATGTTCCCAGAACTTTAATCTGGTTTTCTGGTTGACTAGTGTAGTGACATTACCAAGACACCATCAACCCCTGAGAGTTAATGTTTGAGTTGCATTAGCTGCACCCAACCTGATGTTGTGCATCCTTTGGGTTAGTTTTGATGGACAAGATATGACATATCTCACTTCTGATCATTGTAAGTTGCCCATGAGTTAATGATAATTGTGCCTATTGCTGTTACAATAAATAACCTCTACTTTGTTACATAAGACAGGTTATGTAAGACTCAGCTGGAAGATTGGGGGGGCACTATGTTACAGGAAAGATGTGAATGCACTGGAGGGAGAGAGTACAGAAGCAATTTACAAGAATGGTTCCAGGAATGAGAATCATCAGTGATGGGGATAAATTGAAGAAGTTGGGACTGTTCTCCTTGGAGAGAAGAAGGCTGTGGAGGAGATTTGAAATTTGAAAATTGACAGTCAGTCCAAATGCGAAAAATGGAACAAAGGCACTCCAAAAGGAAATCTTCACCTTCAGGGGAGGCGATGGCCTGGACTGTTAATACAGAGACTCAGGGAATGTTCTGAGGACCTGAGTTCAAATCCTGTTTTGGCAGATGGTGGAATTTGAAATCATTAAAATAAAGTCTAGAATTAAGAATCTAATGATAACCAAAAAAGCCATTATTGATTGTCAGGAAAAACCCAACTGGTTCACTAAGGTCCCTGTAGAGAAGGAACCTACCATCCTTACTTGGTCTGCCCTACACGTGACTCCAGACCCATAGCAATGTGGTTGCCCTCTGGGCAATTAGGGATGGGCATTAAATGCTGACTCAGCCAGCGATGTCCTCATCCCATGAATAAATAAAAAATCCCTCCCAACTGGTAAGAGGTGCAGGGGTTACAGTGAGCTTTAGGAAGATGATCAAAACACAGGGAAACGATAGGCACCTTAGAGAAGACAGCTCTGCAGAGATGATTGAAGGTTCCTTAAGTAAAGTTAGAGACCGCTAAGGATAAACTTTACAGAACTGTTGCAAAGTCCAGGCAGGAAGGAAAGAGGGTAAAAAGAGAATTCTCATTTCTCAAAGGGAGCATTGCTGCTGTTATGAGTAGGGTCCCGTAGGTAACGCTTGCAAGGGACAGAGCAAGACTACACAAATAAATTTATACTGAGGCCCCAATAATGTAAAGCCTGCAGACAGTAATGAGGATGATGAAAGAGAAAGTTTAGATGTGAAAGAAGGGTCGAATAGAAGAAGAGAATTTGAACAATTTTAAGATTTTTAGAAGTTCAGAACACTTAGGAATTGAACTATAATTTTGGTGGGGGGAGTTATTAAGGTCACAGCCACTTAATGGTGAAAATCATGCAAAGCATTTCCACACACAACTCACTTACACCAAACTTTAACACTATTTCATGTGGCTTTGCTCAGGTTTAGCTGATATTCGGGCCACAATCTTGTAGAAACTCCAGACCGGAGTGTTCACAGCTATTGGAGTATGGGGCCATTTCAATTCAGCCTGGCCCAGTACTTATTTGATAGTTGTTGTATAGAGTAATAGTTCTGAAAGAGTTAATGCTGAAGTTGCCTTCGGTCTATCCAACTCTGATGTAACACAGTCTTTGGGCAAAGAATTGGACAGGTCTAGCATAAGATCCCAAAGAAGACAGATAGTTCTTGATGGTTATAATTATTTGTAAGAAGTTTATTATTTGTTGCTATTGCTCATTCAATAAACTACATTTAATTAGTGATTTTCTTGTTAAGACTCTCCATCGGTTTATCCTTTGTTGCTGATAATTAAATGGGCATCTCGGCACAAAAGAACAAGTACAAGAAGGTAAGGGATCCTAAGATGCAGTGATAATGTCCCTACCTCTAGACTGGGAGACCTAGGTTCAAGTCTCACCTTCTCCAGGGCTGTGTAATAATATCTCTGAACAGGTTCATTGGAAATATCTAGCAAGGAGGATTGGTGAGAGTGAGCAACCCCAGCCAGAATGAGCCTTACTTGCACCACCAGAACATTCATGTGTCTGCACTGTATTCACAAAGATCGCAGGGTCTTTAGCTGTACAATGGTACACAATGATCACGTCTCTGGATTTTTGTGATTCTCCCCTGGTGACATCTTTCAAAAACATGTATACTGATATCATCAAGCTTTATCGATCCCTTTGCTGTATCAGAGATTGAAGATTCTATGGAAACAGAATGTTTTTCCCCTCTTTGTCTATGCAGGTCAGCCAGCTAGCTTTTTCCTCTGTGGTCCTGCCAATTGTTTTTCCTCTTCCAACACTGTAATTATCTAATTCTTTCTCTAAAGCCTTGAGTGAACCTACATCCTGTCAGCCATAGTGCCAACCCTTTTTCTTTAATTTCATCACCTGCCATGAATGAGACTTGAACCTATGTCCCCAGGATGTGGGTTTGATGCCTTGACTTCCTAACCCACTGACATTACCAGCACACCAGCACTTCCCCTATGTTGAGGCTGTTAGAGCGCTTGTCTAGTACCAGATCAGGACAGATTTGGTGCCACTAAATATTGGGAAACCTGATCTTTTTTCAGCACATTAAAGGTGCTACACAAATGCAAGCCTTTCTTGTAGGAACCTGATTGCAATAATGATGTGTAATCGCCCAGAACAATGAATCTCCGAGGGGCTGCCAAATGCTATTCAAAAAGTAAACCCTTTCACTCGGAGAAATGCTCTTCCTGTTTTAGCCTATATTGTTACCTTCAACACAAGGCTCCCCCCCAACCTCAGGCCTGCTATTCCTGGCTGCTTCCCCATGGAGACTAGCTGATTACGCACTTGGCCAAACAATGAGTGCTGCTGCAGTGTTCCTTCGACATTTCCTTCAGCTGCTGGTACCAGGCAGATTCCATCTGAGCTCCTGACGAGCATTGCTCCCAAACTACAGCTGATAGATTGAATCTATCTGTTATCCAGCTATCAGAGCTGAGATCAGTGCATGCAGCCAGGCAACGTTCCCTTTAGTCATGTTAAAGACACAGGCATTCATTGACAATACACAAAATTGTCCAGGTTGGCCCTATACACAAAATAATGGACAAATCCAACCTGGTCAATTACTGCCCCATCAGACTATTCTTCAATAGACAGCAAGCTTCCAGGCTTTTGTTAACAGGACTATCAAGCAACATCTACTCAGCAATATCCAGCTCACCAATAACCAATATGGGATCTAAAACAGAAGTTGCTGGAAAAGCTCAGCAGGCCTGGCAGCATCTGTGAAGAAAAAATCAGAGTTAACGTTCCGGGTCCGGTGACCCTTCCTCAGAACTTTATCCAATGTGGGATCTTTCTGAGGAAGGGTCTAGGCCCGAGGCATTGGCCTTCCTGCTCCTCTGATGATGCTTGGCCTGCTGTGTTCATCCAGCTCTACACCTTGTTATCTCTGCCTGTGCTGCCCAGCTCCTGACCCTGTTACCGTCTTAGTGAATATAGCTAAGAGAGCTGCGTTCAATAGCTAGGGTGGGGCTGACAGCACTTGGCAGTGAGATAGCATCTGACCCAGAATGGGTTCAAGGAGCACCAGTAAATTTCAAGTCAATGGGAATCAGGGGAAAACTCCACCTGAGCTGGAGGGATTGCTAGCAGAATAGAAGTTTCATCATAAGTTCAGAACTGGGGATGTTCACCGATGATTGCACAATGTTCAGTACTATTGGCGA